TATTTAGATTATTTAATATTGTTTGCATTACAACGGGATCAGATCCCAGAAGAGCTATGTCGTCTGCGTACTCGATATCTGTGAGCGGAGGCCCAGGGAGCACTTCGACCCCACCGGCATTAGAGGCTGGTAGTGCGTCTTCCATGATCGTGTCAATGACGAAGTTGAAGAGGAAAGGTGGAAGAGGACAGCCCTGTCGGACACCGCTGGATGTGGTGAACTCAGGAGAGAGCTTCCCGTAGACCTTTACACGGCCGCGGGAGTTGGCGTACAGCGCCTTAATGAGGTTCAAGAATTTATGGGGGACAGCTTTGCTCCACAGACACTGCCATAGTGCTTGGCGGTCCACAGAGTCAAAGGCAGCTTTCAGATCAAGACCAGAAAAAACCATTGTTGGTTGCTGGAAGCAGTGTCGCTGTTCCAGAATCTGTCGGAGGGTGAAGATATGGTCGATGCAACCTCTTGCAGGACGGAACCCAGGTTGGTTTTTAACGGATCTGTCTCTCTCTCTCTGTGTTCCATTCGCCCGTATGTATTACCTCCACTGGTTGTGTTGCATGAGGCCAGCTGCTCTTCGAAGTGTTCGGCCCATCTCTCCAGTGGAAGTTTTTGCGAGCGAATTAATGAGCCATCTTCTTCATTTATCGTTTCGCTGACCGTTGCTTTCCTAGGGCCAGTCCATCGTATCAGTTGATAAAGGGCTCGGCTGTTTCCCGTAGCAAAAGCCTTCTCCATCTCCCGAGCTTTCGATGTCCACCAGAGCTCTCGGTCCTTTCTTAGACTCTTCACTATTTGGCGTTTGAGGGATTTGCGTGCACCGTCGTACTAGTTGCCTGCTGGTATGGCTTTCCTGGCATCCGCACAACTTAGAGGCGTTGGATATCGATACTCTTTGTCAGACAGGTCAAAAGATCTCTCCTTCTCAAAAGTTTCCTCTCTAAATGTCCCTAAAACATCCTACCATGTGTCCTGATTTTCGTGCTTATTAATGTACTTACACTATATACTCGTACTGAACCTTTGTATGTACATTTCGGCTCATCAACGCTTGTTCTTAGACCAGTAAGACGTTTATCCTCGATAACCCGGACTCTGTTCTAAGTCGTTCTCGGATACACTCTGAACGTTTCACCATGATATTGCATCTCAACACAGCCCAGGGTAATTCAGTTTATTCACGGTCTACTATACGCTGCATGAGTAACGGCTGAGTGCGAAAGCCGCGTACGCTCGGCCTGAGTGAAATTCGATGGACGGATGACCCAATGCATTTAAACAGACTAAACGAGACTCCGAAATCAACGGACCTAAAGAGAAAGCTGTTGGTTAATCCTGCATACGATTCAGCAAACTCCAGAAGCTACAATGTCAAGGATGCTTCACCGGAGACTGCTGTTGACGGCAAACGGTAATAACAATGCCAGCTAGCTATTCCAGCACTCAAGTGGGAATGACCGATCAATATAATTTAATGTTAGGTGGAATCCCACATGAATCACGCTAGCAGTCAGATGCTGCTATCGCCGAGAAGACCATCCCACGCAAGATTGACGAGAAATTCGGGGAGTTTGACGGTCCAGTATCACGCCGAGGCCTGATTTCTCGAAAGTCTGGACCCATCAGCCAATCAAGACCCAGTATTGGCCGAATGTCGGTTGCCATTGCCGCAACCAGAAGCGATCAGGCGACTTGCGGAGTCATCCCCATTCTGATTGGTTGATACCTAGATGGCGGAAGCATTCAAAAGTGGCAAAATGGCGGATTTGCGGGCCAGCGGCTAGAAGCACAATGTATTTTTCTGCAAAACCCCTGCAGCCGAAATAAAAACTTTAACGTCAAAATGTTGCACTTCTTTGCATATATGCGTAGACTGAAAACCCCCTCATCTGCCGTCATTTTTTTGCGATTTGTTTTAATCGATTACATTTGAAAATTATTGGCGCACATTCGGCTTTGAACTTCGTCTGCTATTGCTTCGGAAGTGGCTTTCGTCGAGAAATTAGTGGGTGTATCGTTCTCATCCTTCACGGCATTTGAGAAGACTTTAAATGAAGGATAACTTTGTGATATTTGTGCGTTCATCCAGTAATCGAAGCACCAACACTATTTTGCGTTAGGAATGGGTGTACTACAAATGCAACAGGCGCCCTCCAAGACAAACGGAAAGCCGTGGAATCCGAAGAAGCTAGTAAGCCGAGCGTAATTTCTAATAAAAAAAGTACGCGAAGCACCAGCTGCCCAGTGCGGTTTTGTCTACGGAGGCAAAGGAACCAACTGGCAGTGACGTCTTATTTTCTGGAACACAACCACAAACTGTCAAAGTTTCTTTACGATCGGCTTCCAGTTAATCGACGCTTAACCGAAGACGAGTTGGGCACATGCCAGGCCCTGCTGAGATATGGAACGCCGTCATCTGAGGTGCGGCAGTTTGTGGCGGATGAATTCAGAAAGATTCACACCTACCGCCGGAAGTGTCGACCGGCTATGTTGAGTAGGTGCCGAATGGTTGGGTTGTAATGTAGCAGATGACATGCCTTCGGTTCTGGCAAAACTTCGGGAGACCGGACGCGTCCTTGTGTGTCAGGGAGAGGAAGGTCACTATAGCCACATATGTTTCTCCCGATGGCAGCAGATAGCGTTATTCCGACGCTTTCCCGACGTAGTGAATGTGGACGGGACACATGCAACAAACCGCCTTGGGTAAGTTTTTTTAAAGCATCTAATATTCGGTATTTAGATATAAACTATACACATTCTTGATAACGGACGGCATGGGAACCGGGCGTCCGGTTATGTATGCGTTCGTAGAGAGCGAGCAGTTTGCTCCAATGCGTAAACTGTTCGGCTTGTTCAACCGGCTGGAGAATGCCAACGGACTCATTAAAGATCGGGGGCACCACTCAGACACGTTGGAACACGCCATTAAATAGGTTTCTTGGCACGCCGAGTGGCTCATGCGGGAGTTTGAGATGCATACGTCATACCAGTGCGACAGGCGGCAAATCCTGGAGGGTGACGCCTACGTTCTAAACGTAGTCTATCGAATGACCACATATGGATGCTGTCTCGTTTTGAGACGCTTGGGTCCGCGATCGCCGCGGCTGCCGTACGAAAGGGTGGAAACAGACAAGGTGAGGTCGAGTTGCGTAAACCAACTAATAGTTTGTGGTGCAAACACCCAGATGCTCCCAGACTGTCGACACCTGTGCTTGAGAATGCACGTGCCCTTTCTACCAGGCGATGTGGCTCCCCTGTGTACACCCGTTCCGTGTATTTCGAGATCAGTCCGTTTCGAGTAGTAAGAGCTATTCATCGTTGACTTTTTCTTAGCTAGCTTTCCAATCCACCAATGGTGGCTGTCGGATTACAACCTACCGGGAAAAGGTGTACCCCTTACACTTGTTCCTAAACCACCCCCGACAGCTTTCGACGGTCTTCGTAAGCAACTGAATCGGGTGATGGATAAGCTTCAGAGGCTGGAACCCAGGAGGGCCACCGCCATATT